CGAGGCCCTCATCCAACAGCATGGGTGGAGTTTGGGGAAGAGTGATTAGGCCTATATCATGACTGTTATTGTTGATCACCAGAGAACAGGTGAAGCAGGTCTCCTTGAAGCTTTGGATTAGTCTTTGTTGTTATTAATGTAGTTAGGTCGAGTAGGCGTACTGTTGTAAGTCCTACTCGTTCCTATGGTGTGATATGTTATATAATGAACCATGACCGTAGGCGTCAAGGTAGCTTGTGTGGTATGGAGGGATTTTGGGGGCCGGTGTAAGATCCATTTTGAAGGTTTTATGTGTTGGTGAAAATCCCTCCATGTATATACTTGTACTTTATTCCTATTGATCGCATTAGTTGTACATTGTTGTATTTTGATTACATTTGAATTGTTAATATTTGTATTTTTGTTATAGTTTTTGTTTTTATTACGCATTCACTAAGTTTGTGTTTCTTCCTGAACTGCATCTGCGTTGTTTTACTTGACACTTGTTCTTGGCGGTAGCCATATTGATTTGTTCCTCCTGTTGTGTATGATCTATCCAGCCAGGATAGAATAACGTTGATTTGTTGTGATTGATTTAATTGATTGAACAATCATTGGTTGAATAGCCGGGTGATAATATTTGTTTAGAACCGCTAGTTACCCGATTACTTGTTCTGATTTCGACGGGAAAGGGCGCGTGTCTAAAACCCCCTGTCGGCTATTCTTCAACATCCAAACCGTAGTTTGGATCCTACAAAGATCACGAGTCAATTGAAGCTAAACCACCATGCGAAATTCGGAAGTACTGGACGGCCGTTTCGTCCTGTTGTGGGACTCCTCAGTACTGCTTATCCACGATCCTTCAGTGCCTTCATTTCATGATAACATTCACCCATTGGAAAGAACTGCAATGATTGTGAAGTCAAATTGTTGACAACACAGGATATAAAACTAGCTTGTGAACTTCTTTGACGGGTCATTAATAGATCTTTCGAACAATGTTATTCAAATCTATTTTGTGACATACCACTTAAACTTCCTTATCAATGTTCTTCTAGCCTCCAGAAAGTTTTGGCTTGGGTCCTTCACGTAACTGATCACAGAAATGAGTCTTCGGACGTTTATTTCTCTGTACGTGATGTGTCTACAAATAATCAGTCATAAGATGTGAGAGAAAAGGTTTATGAGCAAACGTTCTTGGGATTTTTAATCGATATTTATGTAATGTCTAATAAGAGTCTGCAAAAAAAAAACAGCACACAGAGCTGAAATGGAATCATTGTACAAAATGGCTTTTTAAATGAATTACATCGGTTATCCAGGATCACTGACCCCTAAAATCGATCTTAATTGATTATTCGAAGTGATGAAATGTTTATTAGTTATTCTTGGATGCTAATAAAATATTTATGTCATGACAAGATTGATGTATTTTTCATTAGTTAACAATAATACATGTAAGCATAGTTCCAAACCTCGCAAATATTCTAGCATTTTTTTGAATCCATGAGATAGTCGTACGGTAAACGGTTTTTGTCCACACACATATTTACTTCACGTTCAACGGAAGAGGGAACAGTAGTCATAACTTTTGAACAACTATACTCAAACCTGTCCATGCAACCTAACCACATGATCTAAAGTTCATGAGCTGCACGTGAATGTGAATGCCGAAAATTGAGCATTTGTCTGACAATAATCGGAATCTGTTGATTACCCTGTGAGGCATATCTTTAGACGATTGACTGGAATGGTTAAACCTGATTTATAATTTGTTTACAGCTTAAGCCTGAAATCGACCAGTTTATAATCACTCAATGTCTAAAATTTTTGGATGCCTTTCTGTGATTGAAAGTAAACTGTGAACCAAACCAAAAAATCCCAAACAATTTGAAAATATAGCCACGTCTTACTCTTTGGCTATATCGTATGAAATATATCGTAGAAGTAGTATTACTCCATCAAGCATCTCTCTCACCATAAAATTTCGAAACACAAAAACACACTAATGGTACCTACATAGAATCTTCACAAATACTGCTTCGCCTATGGTAGAGTGTGAAAGTTGCTGCCAAGACTGGAGTAATTTCAGGCCAAAAAAATCTACAATATTTTTTACTAGTTCCCACGTTTTACTCAGATATATTTCTTAAAAAACTGTAGACTATCCTTTGAAATGCGACAGTTACGGTATCCTATGAATTCCTAGATAGCCATATCTCAGAAAGTTGAGAAGGCTGTGAATGAAAATGGCGGATACTAAGGAGGACAGCATTGATTTTGATTCATTTCTACTGGTTGTTTGAATTTCCTGATTTATGTTCAGAACTGAAATTGATGAGTCTCTTTTGGTATATGTTCATTTTGTGCGGAATGCGTACCTTGTCATTAAGTTTTAAGTACCAGTCATGACTCACAGAAAAGACAAAAACGGCATGTATCCCACCGTCATCACGCGATGTAGATTAGTACGTTGGATAAATCCACCCTAATTATGTAAGAAACTGTAAAATTACCACACAGTCATCTTATACTTTGAGAAGACTCACAATGTTCACCTGAGACAATAAGCATACTTAGTAACAACATAGTGTGCTCACTGTTCGTCAGTTTAACTAGAAAGTAAAATCCATGTTTCTTCAAACAACTGTGATAATCAAGTCTGTAAACAAAGTACAGTACATTTCAAACAAGGCGACAAATACTGAGGAAGATGAAGGGTGATTATTTATATCAATAGAAGCACGAAAGTCTATGTAGCTACGTAAATATAATCACCCAATGTGTCTTGATGGAACTAGTTCAGGGTGTACCTGATAACACCAGGGAAAGATATGTAACACTTCTTCAGGCAAAAGTCGATGTAAATAAAAAATTTCTGAATGCCTTTTCTGGGATAAAATGCTTCAAATTCTATCATGTATTACAATCAAAAACTATAATCTCCCACCTCTAAACCTCTTAATAAATATATGTTTACCACGATGATATCCTGATAAACGGTACCTAGTTGGTATCAAACAAAATGGGCAGTCTAAGAACACGAGTAAATAAAAACGTTAAACGGAACTACATTCTTATGGAAGGGATACTGTCTATCAAAATGTTTTGAATTCAAGCTCCTTAAACGGGAAAAATATGTTACAGTCACGTTTTGCACAACCATTAACGTGGTACCATAATGTGTTGAGAACTATTTCTGCCTATGTTACGGGGAAACTTATTGCCAGGAAAAATTATCACCGGTCCTCACCTAGCGGAAGCATTGGAGTGCGTTTTCTACTGACACCAATAAAAAACTATCTACGAGAATTATTATTGAAGGCAACTTGGCAGATCTTCCGCAGATTTCAAAAAGCATGACGAAGTAAACTTTTTGTTCAAGTCCAGGACGGGTTGGATGGTGAGATATATTCAAAACATTGGGTCAGAGAAAACATCTTTGGGGGCTGGCGTTACTAAAATATGTAAAAGGTGAAATTTCATACCAGATGCCTTTCGCTCTTAAAATTCAAGCGGATTTAAAATGTTTATATTTGAATGTAGCTCATGGAAACCTACAAAACAGGCTTGTCTTTGAAACGTTTGCAGTGGCGTTGGTTCCTAACCATACGCTCTTTGAAGCCGAGCGTATGATTACCAAATAGATTTATATTTACTTGGGGAAGTTCAGCAATGGCGAGTTCGAGAACATTCATTGAACCAATTAGCATGGTGTGGTCATTCTTGTGTAACCCATAACTTTCCATAATAAAAATATTTTTTTATCCCCAGCCAAAATATGTCCTTCGTAAGTGCTAAACACCATATTGCTGATTGTCATGTCACGGCGAGCCAGTGTAGACAATGACGTGACTTCCATGTAAGATCTCATAGATTAGGCCGTTCTTTCACGACAAATCTACAATCTTAGGGTTAGGTTTATTATTATAGCAGTACTTATAACGAACTAGACCCTAATTCTACAGGTTCTGGAAGCCACTCGACTTATGCTGGTGATGACTATATTATAGCCTAACAAATCACCAGAGTATGACAGGTTGACCCCACCTACCTTTATGCAATGCACTGATACCCTTTATAAGCTAGTCTGTAATCTGTTTTGACACCCAGTAAACGCTCACTATTTTTTTGAAAGAATGGAAACAGCCTATCAATTTCTCCAAAGTCGAACAAAGATTAGCAAGAGCTGTAAGTTGTGATGGATCAGCTTGATCATTGCTGAAATCCATAGAAATCCTAGTAAATCATTAGGTCATAAAATCGAAATCCAAAAAGCTTTTTACAAGACAAAGCGCATATGAGCTACCCTTTCAATAGATAGTATGGAGAGATAGTCGATATAAATGAATTACACCAAGATATTCGGAGAAAACACTGCCTTTTCATACATAAAAGCTTACCTATCATCTTTTAGGTCACTATTTTTATTTTTAATTGATGATATTCCACGAACTACTTTACACGTATCAGGATTTCATTGTGGATCAATGTCATTTAATTCAGTAAAAATAGTATGAAAGAATCCCCCACTTTTCAAAAATATTGAGCTGCGCATTACTAAAAATAGACATTTAAAATTTGTAGTCAAGTTATTTTTTACCAACTTTAAACATGTTACATGTTACACTAACATGTAATCACACTGTGAATGGCAAATAGTTACTCAATTTGTCCATTGAAGGGTTAAGCGATCAAAAGTAAGGAAGGGGCTTTTCTAGAGATTAAAGTCATATTCTGTTCACGACTAAAAACATTTGTGAAAAAAATGACTGTTATTTCTGTTGCTTATATATATTGAACTTAGTGCAAACACTAAAAACTTAATCCTTGTTATTCAATCGAAATGAGAAACAAGATAAAATCTTGTTGAAGTATTTTTACTTTGTAAGATATAATTATGTTTAGATTTCAGCAAAGGATACATTCTCTACATACGACTATCAGATGAATGTCTTCCACTACGATCATTATTTTCAAAATGATCACAGAAACCACGAACATTCAAAAAACGAAAAAGATAAACCAATTCATTCTTAGTTTCATTTCAAAACTCAATCAATAACTGGATTAGTTATTGAACAAACAGAAGAACAGTGAGAATAAATTACTAATAAAAAGCAAGTAAGTAAGTAGACCAGCAAGTAAGTAGGTAATCATTAACAATAATAATAGTAAAACAGCATAATTGTTAACAGTCACATTTTAGTTTACTGTAGATTCGATATGAGTCAAAGAAATACATCTTTATTAAGAGAAAGGAAAACGAGTGGTAGTGTATCACAGAAGAATAATAAAATCATAAGACGGCAACAACTACGATGATAAAAATGACTGGTCCAATGTCAACTAAATATTTTCCTTTCATTTCAGCTCTCTTTACGTTTGTCATTACAACCTTTTTGTTTGAATCTACTAGTTATCTAGTGAAAATAAAACACTTATTTCACATTGGAATAAAACCAACTAATCAACACAATGTTAGGAGAAAACAAGGGATGGGATAATGGAACTAAGTAGCAATAAAGAATATCAGACAACAAAAAGATATTCACATGGTTCAGAGTTTGTAAAGTGTTTATTGGAGAGTGAACTTCGTCTTCTCTATACAGATATCCATGTAGTGATTGTTCGACGCAAATTTGAACAATAATGATGATTTGTCAGTAGTAAATGTTTTTAAATTTGGAATGTATCGTACACAATGATAACGACTATAATAACTTTTTTTGATTGCTTAATTGAAAAATGAATAAAGATTAAATATTATTCGAAGTTAGTAATATTAATTTACCAATGTATTCATACGTAGAATTTTATTATACAATATACATATGCTTCCGTCCTTTTCCTTGTACTACCATTCGTTGTATTGCTGTTAAGAACTAGATGGGAGTGTGTGCGTATGTTTCTATATTGACAAATAAATAAAATGTTTCCCGAAATGTTTCTTCTGTTATCCAAATAATCCACGTCTCGTTACTTTGGCAGATAATATATTGTGTAGAATGAATACTACAGGCTTTGGACATCCAAGTAAATCTAATTCCTGTCAATTAACAAATTATAACCTTTGTTAATATGTATAAACAATTTATTGAAAACTGGATATTAGGTATGCCTCATAAGGCATTGGTTAAGAAGTATATGTAAGGAAAAACAATATCGTTCAGTGGATTACAAGTTAATACTCGGTTTCGCTCTTCTGGAAATATTTTTGTAAGATTCTATTTTCAAAGATAAAAAGGAACACGAAACTAGCAATAGACCTCATATTTAATTACAAAACAATTCGAAATAATGCAACAGATGTAATTTCTCAAGGAATACTGTTGATGTTGATGACGCCTATGCTCACCAAATTTAGTTTGAACTTCCAATCAATAGTAATTTACATTTTAATCAACAACCCGCTTGTTGAATGATCAGATGTCGTACAATAATCTTCCAAAAGAAATTATTTTTGAAATAAGTTGAAATAATTGTCTCGTTTTATCACTTGTTCAGTGAGTTATAACTGAATGCCCAGCTGCTTAAGTAATTTCCTAAAACTTCATGTCGAATGCAAAATTAAAATAATTTTGTTACTTTCAAACTTTTGGTATTAGAAGTTATGGTTGTTCACTAACAATTGTTTGCTTTCAAAGTATACAATAGCTAGCCTGCTTACTCTCATTTACATGAAGACTTAAAACAATTTTAAAATATTCCATGACTGATTTCTTTCTAAATGTAAAACTATCCATCTGATTACAACGTTAGTTCTTTCCACTTTATCCTAGATAAATGGGGACTTTATCTAGTCTTCATAACTCTAATTGTAAAATTGAATATTGAATAGGATTGAAGTTATCCATTGTAATAATAAATATGAGATTGTATATTCACTGTAAAACAAAAACAAATTTACTGAGTGTCATTATTTAAAAGATTAACTATCCCTATACAAATATCATCCAATAATTAGAAGTATCGGTTAGCTAGTTCGTGGACAAATAAATGTCCATGAAGTTAATTTCTTAATTTTTGGATAAAAACTTGACTTGTTTACTACTACAGTTCTGTTTTTAGTCATTTCTTTTTTGTTATTTATTATATTGTAATCAGTTTATTTATGCTCTAGAGAATAGACACTGAATTAAAGAACACTGTTTTTTTAAAAAAACGTTTTTTCCTTATATAGTGTCTTCATCCCATCTGTTTATTGTAAATATTGAAAAAAAGGAACTTACAACTAAATAGAGGAATTTTAATAGGAATTATGAGTTATATACTTTGTTTTGAGTGAGTCCTAAATGTAGCGAATAAACTTGAATCATTTAGTCCTGGTCTTATTTTAATATTAATGAATAAATCTTGTTTAAGGTAATATTTTGTTTGAAGTTATATCATCACGTATAAATGATACGGCATTTAAAAAAGATAAGATTTTGAGTAACATCGATTTATACAAGTGTTCTCTTCTAATAAACTAAATATTCTGTAATAACTCCAGCCTAAAACATGGGTAAATTTTCATTTTTGTTAAATTTCACTTATGTTAAAGATGATTTTCATCATGGATTAACATCAGCTACGGAATCCTTGAAACACAGTGATAAATACTTGGAAGCTGTTCTTCGGTTCTGTGCACTAATGACCTTGGCAGTGATCTTATCCAGAATATAGGCATGCTTTTAAACTATCTAGTAACCGTAAAACCAGTGAGTTGGAATCTAATAATCTACATTTTCAAACTCAGTTAATTTAAAATACTGTATGACTATCGACCATTGTTTCCAGAAATGACGGTTTCGCTTTCTAATGACGTGAATTACACACATTTCAATTTCCTTACTAAAATATATACAACTTATAACGATTTGAATGTTGTGTTATGTAATGATCAGAGCAGAATATACCTTTAGATAAACTTTTTTGATTCCAGATAATTAGAAGTGCAAAGCTCTTTGCCATATTTCTTAGTTGTTAATCCTAGTGTTTCATACAATTTTAGTGAAAACAGTGTGCTTCTGTATATTTAAATACCCCTACAATCAATTTTGTAATATAGGTAGCATGATTTGTTGATGGTGTAGTGACAAAACGAGATTTATCAAGACTATGTGATATTTTGATTTTTCATAAATAAGCCAGAGAAGATGAAATGGGAACATAAAAACTCACCGCTTTCAATATTAAGCAAAAATACACAATAACAAAGTAAATTTAACGTAAGCACAAACCTCTTTTGAGTGTATATGGAGGAATTGACCTTTCGTTTAACTAAGACTTTAATAAACCTAAGTATGGACCCTAGATCATTTTGCGTAGGCACTATAGATGCTGAGTTGAGATGGATTCTATGGACGTTTCGACCATATTGTCAGTGTTAAAGTTGTGAAAATTGTTGGATTTCATTAAAATCACGAACCGATCAGCTTTTAGATCATTGTCTAACCTCGATCGGTCCGTTATTTCACCGAAATTCCAATTATACGACAAAAAATAGGACAGAATTGGTACTTACCTCCTAGGTCAATGCAATTTAATCTTTTGTCAGTTATTTAGGCAGATGCAGAACTACCTTTGCTTATTATTCACGATTACTCTTTCTGTGTAAGTCTATCCATATATGCGTGTAAACTAGTAAATCAAATAGGATATCAGTTATACGCTAACAAGTTGTTTAAAATTTTGGTGAATAACAGAATCTTTTATCACATCAGTGATGACCTTGATCATTTGTCTAAATTCATCTTTTATAACTTATATAAATAAACAATTTAATGTGTGATCACACTTTTCGAAATGTATTGTGTCAATATGCATCACATAGTTCTGATAAATCTCATCTTCACACTGCACTAATAAAGTTTCTCAAAGTGACTAACTGTTTTAAACATGGTACAATTAATGCTATTCAAGATGAACATACTTGTATGGGATTGATAAAATAAATAGACACACTGAAAAAAGTGTTTGTGATTAATATCACCTAATTATAAGCCACAAATCAACAAATAGCTGAAAGTAAACAAACACTGAATAAGTATTATCTTATTCATTAACCCTCTTTATCCATTCGCTTACATATTCTCCATCTGGTCCAAAATCGATCCACAGAATTGTCTTTCCATCATCTGCAGTTGACCTCAACCTTTCATATGGATACTCCCATATCACATGTCCACTAGTCATATTCCCATGTGGATAAGATTGTGCTATTGAATGTGATTCTATAGGAAATTGACAAGAGATTAATTTTAATCCAGTATCATAGTGTAATGTTAAACGACAATCATAATTTTGCCATCTGCAAGTGATAACTACTTCTTGAGCTCCGGCTACAGCCATATGTGCGCCTTCAATAATTGCATTAGACCACGTCATTAAATCCTCTTGAGTAGATACGGCAAATGTATGAGATTCAACACCGTGTTTGCTACCTAAATATTCAACAGAAGAACATGGACAAACTAAACTAAATTGAATAAATGTAAGGTTTCCATAAATTCCTCAGAAGTTATTACAGTTCTTGGAATTAATAAATTCATATATTTGACATCAAATAACGAAACGACCGTCTGCAATATACTCACCTGTTCTAGTTACAAATGTGACCATGTCTCCAGGTGGATATCTTCGACCAATTTCATTTTGTGCATGAGAATCATTCAGAATTGATTTTCTTAAATCAACATGAACAACACGTGTAGCAATTAATGGATGTGCTTGTACAGGATTAGCCCATTCTTCTTTAGATGTAGGAGCAGTATCATACAATAGTAAATCTCTGTCAGATAAAGCTGCGAATACTGGTTTCCATGTTGTATGAATAAGTTGGGAATGTGCTGTTGCTGTCGTGTGATCTCCAGCTGATAGAATATCACTTACAATATTACCATTTATATCATCTATATGATCACCTACTCTATTTGGTACATCAGAACTAGTACACCGTAATTCCACCAACCAGTCCAGTTGTTTAAGTTCCTTTTTTAGGAAAGAAAAAAAATCGTAGCAATGATAAATGAAAGTTCAAATTGATTTTAATGTTTATTGGTTGTTTTATGATTTTTAATTCATAAGTAAAATACGTGAAAATTTCCGTTTTGTTAATAGATTTGTTCACTGCTTGAACAAAGTCAAGGTTTAAATATGTCCTGATTTATATGAAACCAGTAGACTTTGTATTCAATCCCATATGGGTTCATAGTTGTACACTGGTGAGAAGTTTTGAAATAAGATAACACGTTTGTCCTTTATTCTACGCAGTACTCAGAACTATGTTATCTCGTAAAAAAAAATCTGGCTGATTTCCGTAAACACTTCTAAGACAAAGAAGTTCATAATTCAAAAACGATATGGCTTACAAATTCACCTTTTTTTATTATAAGCATTTGAAGATACTGAAATGGAAGCTAGTCTAATTCAGGGATTCGAAATTTCAAATATACATTCATTATCTGAGACTTAAGATAACTACTTTTGAAGCTTAAATCACGTATGACAAATTACATGCTATATGTTAAACTTTCTATGTCCATACAAGCGTATGAAATCAAATTAATAAAACTTACTTAGTCACGACTTTTGTGATCAATTTCGTATTTTTACAAATTAATATGGATTGATAGAAGTTCAAAATATAAACTATCTGACAGCAACTCAGTAGCCTAAAGGCTAACCATTCTACCCAATCCCTGAAGGTTCTGTGTTGATCACAGGTTCAGTCGTGGACGGGCACTCTGAAGGAGTCCCATAATAAGACGAAAGAACCGTTTGATACTTAACCTTTAATGGTTGTCTAATTAAAATCATTCCGTGATGTAAATCTACGAAAAGTATTGCTTTATATTGAGTTAAGTAACTAAGATAAGTACTATATGTTCATATTAAGAACAGAGTTGTTTTAAATTCCTGAAACTCAGTGCTACATTATATGCAGTTTAATATTTGACATATTGTACGAGTTATAATCATTTTTGAATAGTCCTTTAAAAATTTGTGATGGTATATTAATTAATTTATTTAAGTCGTCAATGTAAGATAATATTACTCAGTCAATTACTTAGCAGACCCATTAAAGGAAAAAATAAATTTGAATAATTCTATCGAATGAAATTTACATAATAATGATATGAACCTCTTCATGAGAAAATAACAGGAATGAACATCATGACTGTCATTGATTTTGCTAACTGCATCTGTATCTTTTGTCATTGTTGTTCTCACTAACCAATATACACATAAAGCTTCAGATGTTTTCCTTTATGAGTACCACAAACCTTTGATAAAAAGTAGTTTCCCCTAAATTTATAAATTCTTTGGAATTGTTTGCTGTTTAAAAGTAGAAATTTTCGCTACCAAGTCCAAATACTCTTTGAATGAACAATTACACAAGTAAATAATTTCCGCATATAGATTTCTGAATAATTGTCAGAAAATTAAGTTAAAAGCTAAACACAATCACAATTTAATAATGAGTATAGCCCGGTTATTCATTACTCAATTGGCAAAGACATCAAAGGAATAAGGTATGTCACACTTTTAGGTCACCGATCTGTTTCCCAGATGTTTACTCATGAACTAAATTTAAGGAAATCTTCATAGCAAAATATATCAACGTTTGAAATGAGAAGCAGATAGTATACATCATAGATAGCATCCGTTTGACCACATTTTAGTTAAGGTAATCCTTTACCTGTATGACAAGTATATTTCAAATTCTCTTCCTCATAACCCTATTCTCAGTAATCAGGGAAATATGAAAACTTCAATAAACTGATTAAACAAATTTATTTGTACACCGTTAAAAGTTTATCTAATTCAGGCTTAAAACGGAGGATGACACACATTGTTAAGGTGTTGTCAGTTTATGCATAGAATCTTAATTGTAGCGGTTCTACTCAATTTTGCTTGTACGATATAAAAGTTTATCTGTTTGGGAAACCCTCTTCTCTTGTTACTTAGTGGTAATTACAGATGTTATGTGAAAGTAAAACATATCTCAAACTGGTTTAGCAACTACACTGATCACAGTTTGTCCCGTATCACTTGTATTACGACTATATAAATCGTTCTTTGAGGTACGTTGTATGAATGAGAAGTGGTACCGGCCGACTTCCTAAACCAAAGTTGGTAGACGTGTAACATAGTGCTTGAAACTTGACTAATTCAATCTCTATTCCACCGCTTTTAAACATTAGGTTAGTCCACACTGTATTGCCTTTCTCGTTCGACAGCTTGATAGAAGTTAGTTCTACTTGATACTGGTTAGTTTTCATGACGTTAGCACAACTTAGTAAGGTGATTCAATATAATTAACTCGTGACAGTTTGATAATAATAATAATAATAACAGTAATAATAATACTGTGCCTCTCATATTTGAAATCACTTTCACTTGGTTATTGAATATGAATCGATCAAAGATGAATCTACATCAAAAATGATTTATTACCAGTAATTTTATGATAGGTTACGCGTTACAATCTTTCGAACTCGTAGAATCCGTGTTCTGAATAGTGTAGGATGTGAACATTGATAACAAGGGTTCAAGAATATGATTCATTCATTAGTTGGTGTTACATAGAATTTGAGACTAGTTTTCAAGTATGCTCATCACTCTCTAAATACCTTATCACCAAAGTCACTCACATGTTTTATAAAACACCATAGGATGGTAATTTTTCCTTCGAATATTACATGTTCAAACTATCTGACCTTCTTCCTAATTGGAAGACTTAATTTTCGTTATAGAAATTCTGACTGAAGTTGGGCGGAGACAAGATCAGAGTGATTTAAGCATTTAACGACTTCTATCATTTGCTTATTCCAACTTGAATAATCATACACTTTTCACCCAGAAATACAATTTACAGTTATTTGCTATAATTATTGACATTATTAATATTAATCGTATTATATGCAATTGTGACTTTATTTTCAGTTTCCTAAGATAATAATAATATAAACCAATTATTATCACAATCAGCATTGAATATTCAACAATTAGAGCGAACAAGTAATTATTTATGAGTAAAAATTGACCAAGATAACTGTATGCACATACATATTTAATAGGTTATTAAGGTATGTTTTCCTAATCATTTTCTCTGTAATTATTCAGTTCATTCATGAATTGCCATTTAATTGCAGTAATATCTCTGTTGTTGTTGTATTTTCTTGACGGAAACCTTTCATTTTTATAGGATGTAAATAGTAGTTCTTAAACAACTCAGTAACGGAATAAATTAGTCATTCATCAATGGCACTATTATTGTTAGGTAGCTTTATTCTCAACTAATTACGTTTTCAAAACAGTGTTTATAAACATATTTGTATTGCTTGCTTAACTAGAGTAAAGATATTCGGAAAGTTGTTTCGAGAGTTTAGTAAACACGATAGGGCGCAATGAGAGTTTAGATTGGTGGCAGTTGGTTGGTTATTCCCACTGTGTCCTGTTATCTTTTCTGTTGGTCTAAAGATTCTCTTACGATATATTAAGAACAATAAAGCCTGGAAGTAAAATATCATTATAAATTTCACTCTGTTACATCATAGTTACTAAAGCAACTGAAGATGAAAGTAGATCCCGTCATGACACAGTCACTTTATATAGTGACATGTTAAATAACTCCATTGTTTCATCTACTCATCCGATAGACAGCCAATAAATCATCTAGATGTTTCTGATACCTTGGTAGTTATTTCGAAGAATAGCTGGTCATTTTCCAGTGTCAAATCAGTGTTGTGATCATTAGTGTCACCGATTGACATTGATTAAGGCCTCATAGGCTTCACTCCGTTAATTCAATACAAATTCATTACTGTTATTTCTTTGAAAGATGTGTGTAAAGAATATTCCATGCATCTTTTTGAATCTATTCTCTCCCAGAAGTAAGAGCTTTATGATGGTTTGGAAAACCCAAATAAACAACCTCATGAAGTATTTTCGTTATTACACAAGTTTCATGATCTACCTAACTTTAAAGTTCTTTGACACAACACTCAACAACATGAAAAAGTACTTCTTTTTGTTAAGACATCGAAAACAAAATTTCATCCTGAAAGAATTGGTCGGCCTTTCAATCTTCTACACCTTTCTCGTTGATATTTACTCAACAATGATATTACCAGTATGTGGAGCTAGAGCGAATGACACGCACACTGAGCTATGATGTTTGTGAGTGACATTCAGCGATTAAATAATGGAAGAAAGTCCTATGGATAATCGTAAATTGATAAGCATTAAAGATGTTTCGATGTTTTTCTAAACTGGTCTAAAACGTGTAAAATAACTAGAAGACAGTCTTAGGTCTAATACCGAACTTATAAGGACAGCTACTGTGAATACATGGTGAACGATTTCTAGTTTGTACTTTAAGCTTACAACGTTTTGTTCTAGGCTGAGATAATTCACAATTCCGTCCTGTTTACAAAAGCAGTGATTAATAGTATGGGAGGATTTCCATCTTCACAAACGTCTTGTTACATATGTACTGCAACTGTGTTTGGAAAACTCACAGAAAATCATAAGACAAGTGTATTCGAACGGTAATTTAAATATCTGCAGATACGGAGCAGATATGAACGGTTTGATTCAATGGTTGATTTCGTAACAGTATTTTGATGAGAAGCGTCCATTTCACTTTGTAATAGTTTGTAGGAGATATATAGTTAATCATATAACTACTTATTCCAGTTGATATAACGACTCAGTCATGACCACTTTCGGAGATGGAATTAGTTGAATCACAGCCTGACAAATGAACAGATAATAGAAGACAGAACACAACACTAGACAAAGTTCAGGTTTTCTCATTACAAAATACTTTTAAGCAAAATGTTGGGAAGGAAACTGGACCTGTTTTAGAGTTGTCAAAACAATATAGTGAACAGTGAGCTGTGGTGCTTTTGTCATTTATTGGCAAATGAAATTGAGAATCCACAGTTACTCTTAATTCTTGTTAGTAATGAGGATGGGACCATCAATGTTCATTTATTCATTCATTCGAGCGATATTGTGACGACGTTTTACACTACTTTGAACATGTATATCGTGGCGAGCAGAGATTTGTCAGATAACTATTGAGAAATGGAGACTATGGGACAATAGTTCGATTCTAGCTAGAGGCTCTTCGACTGTACTACCCATCAACAACTCACACAAAGATTTAAATCTACGACCTTAATGTTTTATGATAAGTCTGATATTTCCAAGTCAATTGATAAATCCCATCTGTTATGCGGTATGACACGATCTTCATCTTCACAACTAATCAGTGTTGAAGTGTACTTCGTAAATTCTTTTGAGAAGCATAAAACCTTGAAATTTCACTGTGTCGGGAGTGATGCTACTATTCCAATGACGACACAGTAAGGGTCTGTATTCTCCCGTCGTTGTTAACATTTGTGATTGGTTGGTCTCCACTGATACGTGTGCATCCGGAGTGGATTATTACGATAAGTTTTAGGAGGTGCAGGCACACCTACCTGGTTAGTGGCTAAGTGGATTCTACTACTAGCCATTATCTGATTTGAATCGTAATTTGAACGTTCTGCTTATCCATTCCTTAGACTAGATAAGTTATCGTTCACTTCAATGGATTATAAATTGATAATCTAGTTATTATTTAGTAATAGTCAATAGAGGAACATCCTCGATGTTTGTCAAATGCTTCATTGTTCTCTTTACATGACACACTAAGATTTCACACAAAGTAGCTGGTCATTTCATGTTTGATTTATTGTTTTGATTTTATGAGTTATCATTGTTTGATTGAAACACACATGCTAAATATTTTGATACCACCTCTGTACATTAAGCTGAATGGCTTAAAGACACAACAACTATTGTTATTATTATTACAATCCCCGTCAACCGACTTACCAACCTTTCCTAGTACCGTGTGGCTGATCTCAATATTATTCACTTGATAGTCCAAACATATACGAGGAGTGCTCCAGAGATACCGATGAAAAGAAGCCTGAAGTCTACGCTTGCCTTTGACTTGTATAAATAAGTGCGTGGAATAAAGTATTTGGACTGAAATACGACATAAAATTACACATTTTTGTCGGAAAGATAATGTCATGAAATCCTAATATTCAGTATGCGATTTGTTAAGCTTCTGATCCTTCGAAAGTAAACGAAATGTTCTGAGATTTTCTGTGGTATATTATCAGTTAGCTTGGAAGATTGTGGAGATGGCATAACGAGAAAAATGTTCACATAATCGATTGATCTTAACTAGATAATCATTGGAAACTTAGGACTCCCACAATGCTCCCACAATGCAATTAGAGACCGAACTAAGGACCGTCACAGAGATTATCTGATTTGATATCTAATCAGTTGTTCAATAATACCAAAATTTGATTAGTTCTATGGACTGTTAGCGGTGAGTTGTAGCTGTGAAAAAATTACTAAAGTAGTTAGAATTGTAATAATTTGTTTCTTCAATTTGATGAAGCTTATTGATGCTCATATAAGTTCATTATCAAATGGAAGACAATATTATGCAGAAATCATATGTACTAATAGGAGTTTATCTAATTCAGCAGATTACCTAAACACTAAGTTAAATTGTACATCAAGGGGCACTATGTTTAGTAATGAAAGCTCAACACCTGTGTTAAACATTCACTGTTACTCATTAGTACATTGTTTATATAATAATAGGGAAATCCATCATCTGTTAAGAATTCAAACTTTTGTTTTACAATCGGGACGTTTGATACACTAATGTCTAACTTTTTACTCCAGTCACTAATAGCTCTTAAAACTGGATTATGTTTCTGAATCAGTTTACAGACATTAACTATGCAAAATATTTTCGTTTACATTATATAGCAGGGAATAACCAATATCTAAAATTTATAAAAAATGACATACAAATAGATTTATATTGTTGTTTGAACCGTGTATCATCTGAAAGCTAGCTCATATTAATTTCTATTTGGAAAAATAAAAAAGCAGTCATTTAATTTATTTATAGCAGGTATTTTGTATTCATTAAAGCTAGCCTTTTTATTTCTGATTCAATGAGTTCTCCCCGTAGTAGAACGGATAAAAATAGAGTTGTTTTAACAAGAAATAAGATATAATTATCTACAATTATTTTGTGAAGTAAATAACAATTTTGATAAAATAACTATTATGGCTTACTTGGGTTGGGGGAAGTAGACGATTTAGTTCAGCCAAATAAGATTTATTTATAATTTTCATTTTACTGTGTATTGCATCAAACCACATTCGAGCTTCTTGAGCATCTGGTGCACGGAGTAGACATGAACGTCGACCATCTGAACTGTGTAACTCAAAACAACAACCAGTCACATCTGGTAATGTTAAATCTCTTACTAAATGTGTTAATCTTAATGGCACTACACCAGGACCACCAGAACGTCCTGGATGCTCTATACTACTTGTTGATGTGACATTTTTACCAGTGGTATCATTAGCTCCGAATGGGACCAGATTACCGAGCTGACTAGTAGGCCAACTGAGATCAGCAGAGCATGCTATAGTTTCCATCCCTACTGCCCTGAAAGTAATGAAAGTAAAAACAATCGTGTTTACATCAGTCATCCCACCATATAACGCTTTTTCCAAATATTATAGATTGAAAAATCTTCGTCCATTGGCCTACATACTATAATATCAGACCAAACGATTGACAATAACAATATTGAACTCTTTCAGAAAAGTATTAAAAGTCACAAAGAACAGCTTATAGCAGAAACACTTCACATTGGATAGAATTATCTAGACTAACTAACATTGTCGATATAAATGTGGAAAACGGAAAAATTGTAATCACATTTTTAGAATTTATTCACATATCAAACCCAACAATTTACATGCCGTTTTTTCTTGACCAGTCCATTCACTTGACATCACAAGATTATTTATTCAGAAGTTTGACCGATTTACCATAGATAAACTTAGATTTTTGTAAATTCCGATTTTAAAGAGAGCAAGAACAAAAATTGGTGCAGAATACAAAGAGACAGTAATAAATCTTTCTTTACCCTGGTAACAATAACCCGCACTCTTTCTATTCATTTGCTCCTATTTATTTATTTATTACGTCATTATTGCAACTCTTTCTGAAATATAAATTACATCATACATAACTGATTGATTTCAATTCATATCTTTCTTTATTACCATTATTCAATTTTCATGAGTTCTAATCACTATTTCAATGTTCTGGAACTTTCCCTCTCAAACTTTATTTATTTATTCGAATCAAACATTTTATGAGCTCATTAACTCTATCTGAATATTCGCTACATCATCATACACATGTATTCATCTTTCATCACCCTCTGATGTATAAATATGTCAATATCTGTATTAATGTTGAATTTTAAATAATTTAGGTTGTAAGCAGCTGATGAGAACCTAACGAAATAAAATGAATTCATATTATTCTGCACCAATCTTTGTTCTTGCTCACTTTAAGATAATAAAGGGAACTATGTGTATGAAAATTCCGATTTGTTTGATAAAGCTTTTAAAACTAAATAACGAAATGTCATTAAAAATAACTTAGTTTTTTTCACTAATTGGAAAATACAGATTCCTAACCATGGTGAAAATTATCTACCTAATACCAAACATTTTTACAAAAAAATCTGAACTTGGTTTGGACACGTGTGAATGAAAACGCAATCGTATTGTTGCGTACCGGATATCAAAAGTAAACTACACGAATGAGATTGAAGTATGGAATTAAAGTTGAACATTTGTATAGCTAGTTCCAATTAGGCCAATAGATAACTGATTACCTTATGTGGCGAAAATATTGGAATTAAGGATGATACATATCTCGAAAGGTAGTTCATCAATTCGAAGATACCTTGTAATGCTGTGTGCTTTTAAGTCAACTCTGTGAATATAACACATCAGAAAAAACGATTCGAATGATAGAAACTAGAAAAGGTTAACTTATACAATGATTCAACAACAATTCATTAGACATTAAAACTAAGATTACTCAATTCTGTTCTAAGATGAACTGTTTATGCTTCTGAATCGCAGAAAGAAAGAAAGTTACTGAAGTTGTTTCACAGGATTTCATTAGAAAAAGGGAATAATACTGCAAACCGATTTTATCTGGATTTCAAACCGCAGACCATTCACTAAAATCTGCCAAAACGTTTAAATAAATTTCATGTTCTAATTGTGAACACGTTCATGTTTGCCATTGATATTTTGTTCTCTATTCTCTCTTTTTCATTCCAAGTTTAATGTACTTTTCGTCTAGGCTCCTCTTCTTACCTTTCTCAGTTTAACCAGAACCACAGTATGTAATTAGAAAAATTGTTTAAAAAAGGTAAATGTCACTGTTTACTTGAAATTTGTTCTGTTTGATACTGAATATCATCTATTCTAAATAAAGCTTTACTATGCGAATACACAAAAAATTCACTTCTATCTAACTTATAAAATTATAACATGAATTTAATAGTTTAGTCATTCACTTTCATTTTTGATTTTTAAGAAAACAGTAGGGAACAGGTCTAAAATAAACGTACAAATAAAAGTAAATAAATTTTAAATGGAAACTGAAGTGCGAATTTGAATATGGTCATGACCAAAGTTTGTAACGTAGATATTGTATAAAACGTAGAGTAATTAGTACTTCTAATAAACTATAGATCGACCTCATCTAGTTGCCGTATCGAAATTGTGCAAAGTGCATAGCCTGAGATACATGGCCAGTCACACAAACAAAAGACCAGTATAATCGACTTATGATAACGAATACAACAAAGTAAAGCAAGAAGAATGAAGGAATTAGAAGACAAGAAAAAATATAGAATGCCATCAAGTTAACTAAATCGATGAAAATATATAACTGAGCATTTGTGGTTGATTTGATCGCTTCATAGCACTCAGTATACTTGACGAACGGTTTTTAGAATTTCTAACACTCAAACCTTGTATCACTATTAATAAACAATATACCTTATCACTATAGTACAGGATCATATTTCGATCTGTTCATTGTAATCTGGTAAGGACAGAAATGCTTCAAAAACTATCGATGCACTGACATGATTACAAACAAATGTAATGCTTCAAGTAATTTAATGAATGGAGTTAATCGGCAAATGAACAAAGTATTCTGATCCTCCTCGAAAATAACTACAGTCAGACACTATTGAAATAGGTTTCCGATCACTTCTTCGGTATATGAGCGTGTATTTAACAAGTCCGAACAAACAAATGTTATTTTTTCTGGATAAAGTTAACTATAGAACAGTAAAACCTAAAATTACTGAACAGTCGTCTCGTCCCAAAGTGGGGCTCCTTAGCCATCCCCATACACAAAACTGCATGCGGGGATCGAACCCAGGGTATTCATTCTTGTGAAAGAAACCTAAAACTCTCTCCCGAATACTTTAAATAGCTTCATCTAACAATACCCCAGAATTCTGTAGTGAACTGATTATTATTAATTTGTATTTGATTTAAACTACTACTGACCACAAATAAAACATATGATGGGTATATCAGCATTAGTAAATGTAAAATGTAAATACGATAGTAAAAAGGCAGCTATAGCGGTCTATTATTATTTATTTACTAACATAACCCGTTACCATGTCGTGTCGGTTACTATGTTAAGCCCACAAAAATTTATCCTAGCTTCTGGACAGGCAAATTTATCCATTCCTTTTGAGTCACGTTTTGACCTTGTTAATTATTCACTTATCAATCCTGACTGTTTTTATATGAGCGTGTGTGTATATCATGTCCTACTAATCACATGACTGTAGCTTATTTTCGTGTGACTATAAATACTAATTAACGCTTGACCAAATCGCATTGGCTCACACACCTCCGATGCGCATCATTTCGCCTCGTTCTTCCTCCTTTATTTCGTATCCCTGATTACCTGTTCAAATCAATGGGTGCATGAAAAATGCATATTCAAAATCTATTCCCGTATTTGGTTTATTTAATTCCGTTATTCACTAACGCGGATTAAGTCGATTAATGCATACGAGGATAGTCGACATATGTATTTCAATAACATTCATATGATCCAGTTGGAGTCAGATAAAGGGCCACTAAAACCATTCGGGCGCATAAGTCACTGTTTTGTTCTTTCCTTTCCAGTTGTTCACAAGTGCTATTTATTCTTTTGATGTCTACCCACAATTCCAGGCTGAATATGTTATTTGGTCTGACACGTTTTCTTTTTCATGGAGGATTCCAAGTTAGAGCTTGGTTCCTCATGCATTTTGAAAATTTCTGTAACGTGGTCCACCCACGTCCAATGTTTTTTCCCAATTTCCTCTTCATCTGGAAGCTGATTTGTTTCGTTTCATAGTACGTTAATGCTGATAGTGTTCGATCAAAATATGTGGATGGTGGGGGTGGTGGATGTTCAACATTTAACTTCGTACAACAGAACTGTCTTGAAGTCTGTATTGAAAATTATGACGTTGGTGTAGTAAGACAGTTATTTTGAGTTCCGGATATTCTTCAATTGTACAAATGCTGACATCGCTTTGTCAATCTGTGCCTTCACATCTCCATAAGGTCCCACTTACTTATCAGTGATGCTGCTCAGGTAAGAAAACCTTTCTATCACTTCGAGGGCTTCTCGATCAAGTGTGATCAAGATGGTTCTCGCATCTTCCATTGTGGATGTTAGGACCTACTCCCACACAGACTGCTGCTAAACTGGTTCTTTTCACTTACATTTGCTTCTGTATATGGAATAGAAGAGTCAGGTCATCTGTGAAATCCAAATCGTCTGACTGCATCCAAGCTGTTCACTACATTCCGTGCTTCACCTGAGATGTGGAGGTCTTCACATTCTAGTTAACAACAAGATGAAAGAGGAAGGACGAGCGTAAGCAGCCTTATCTGACACAGGTATTCACTTGGAATGCATCTGTGAGTTACTCTCAATTAACGACTTTGCAAAGTAGTTCATCGCAAGAATTCCGTATGATAGTGTAAATCTTCCCAGCTAAACTGCAATGTCGAGGAAGGTTCAATAATGTTCTCCAATCCACATTGTCAAAGGTTTTCTCTTGGTGAAGAAAGTTGATATGTGACGACGAGTTCCGTTCGAGTGATAGTTCGATAACTATTCGTTTTGTTTCGTCTGTATCGGTTCATGGTTGATCCTTACGAAACCTGGCCAATTGGTATCGACGTTCAGCGTCGACTAGATCTTTCATTCTGTTCAACAAAACTCCGTTGAGGACTTTGCCTCGTACTGATAATGGTGTGATGCCTCTAGCTCTAACATTTGCTCAACTCCCCTTTATTTTGTATATTGATGAAGTATCCTTCATTATAGACTGTCGGTATTTGTCATTCTATCCAAATCTTTCGGAAGAGGATGTGGTTCATCTTCGCGATTACTTCTACGCTGAACTTAGTGCTTCAGCTAGAATGCTGCCTGGTCCTTCTGCCTTATCACTCTCTTGGTTGGTCTGATGACCATAGTGACTTCATCGACCGTTGGCGCGGCATAATCTTCAGGAAGGTCTGTGTGTGCTGCTTTGATTT